GGTAACTTCGTCCCTGGCATGATCTTTTTCCAGTCCATCTTTGGCTACCTCGTCATGTGTATTCTCTACAAGTGGTCCGTCAACTGGAGCGACCCTCAGAACCCCCGCAACCCTCCTGGACTGTTGAACATGTTGATCTACATGTTCTTGCAGCCCGGTAAGCTCGAGGAAGGCGCGCAGCTCTACCCCGGACAGGCCACTGTCCAGGTCTTCCTCCTGCTATTGGCCGTCATCCAAGTCCCGATTCTGTTGTTCCTGAAGCCTTTCTGGCTTCGCTGGGAGCACAACCACGCTCGCGCCAAGGGTTATAGGGGCATTGGAGAGAGCTCTCGCGTTAGTGCCCTCGACGGCGACGATGACGAGGATCACGGACTCAACGGCCGCCCCAGCTTCGAGTCTGATGGCGAGGGCGTTGCTATGATCACGCAGGACCTGCACGGTGATGGCGAGCACGAGGAATTTGAGTTCAGCGAAGTGATGATTCACCAGATTATTCACACCATCGGTCAGGAATACGAAAGCCAACACCTAACATGAAAATAAAACTAACGATGACTACAGAATTCTGCTTGAACTGCGTTTCCCACACAGCCTCGTACCTTCGTCTCTGGGCCTTGTCACTTGCCCATCAACAACTCAGTTCCGTCCTTTGGTCCATGACCCTTGGACCTGCTCTTGGTTTCTCTGGCATCTTTGGTTCTATCGCTATCGTCGTGGTCTTCTACATGTGGTTCTTCCTGAGTAAGTTGCGATACTCCCCTCTCTTCTTAACATCTACTAACAGCACACTCAGCCATTGCCATTTTGGTCATGATGGAAGGTACAAGTGCCATGTTGCACTCCCTTCGTTTGGCTTGGGTCGAGTCCTTCTCCAAGTTCGCAGAGTTTGCTGGTTGGGCCTTCCAGCCGTTCTCTTTCACTACGACGTTAGAAGAGTCTGAAGAGCTGAAGGAGTACCTCGGTTAAGAAACTTCAGCTGGAGGTTTTCCAAGAGTGTGATTTACTGCATTTTGTTTTTCATTGTAACCTTAGTCCCTCTGTAACATAGCTCAATGCACTAGAGCATTAAGTATTTAAACGTGCTAGGCTGCCCGCGTGATTGTCGTGAGTGTGGTGGTTATACTACATGATAGCGTGTAAAACGCCGTGAAATGAACACCCTGCATCCAACATGGGAAAAAACCTCGTAGTAACTCTTAACCCCAAAGCGGGGCCGTGACCTCGGCAGCGTGCTCGCAGACACGTCTCACACGGTCGGCAAAAGCCTTGTGACTGCAGTCCACCTCCAGATCCTCCAACCAGACGACAGCCTCCATCTTGTCGACCTTGATACGAATGCCCGGCACAGGGATGCCGAGCTTTATGAGGCGCTCAATCTCTGCGCGGCGCCGCGCCTCCAGCTTCTTCTCCTGCTCCGCCTCCGCGTCGTCCTCGGACACGTCCATGGACGCGTCGCTGGCGTCGTCGGACTTGATTGCCTTTGTTGTAACCGCTGCTGCTTCGTCCTCGGGCTGCGGCGGGAGACGGGGTTCGGCGACTGGGTTGACGTTGTCGGCGCCGAACTGGGCTTCGAGGAACATGAGGAAGCGCTCGAGGCGTTCTGTCGCTGGGACGTTTGCGTGGGGGTTTTTGGGGAGGGGTTTGGGGGCGTGGTCGTGGTCGTGGCTGTGGGAAGCCGCGGAGCCTGAGTACGTATGAGTGAGTGGTTAGCGAACTGTAAGAGAAACTTCTGCAGACGTGAAAATCCATAATTATCAAGTAGAAAAGGGGGGGAGGGGCGTACGTTTTACTGCTGCGGGACTGCTCTCGATGGAGAACAGACACGCCATGACGGCGTCGGCAATACCGTCGTTGAGCATGTTGCCCTCCCACTCGAGCTCGACCTCTCCGTCGCTGCGGTACCGCACGGCGACGCAGCCCATGACCAGGTACGCGGCCACGAGGCGGGCGACTTCCTCGTCGGCCGCCTCCTCGCCCATCTCCTGGTCAACATCATCGCCTTCGCTTTTCTCGGCGCCGTTTCCGTTGGCGACTGCAGCACCGTCAACGGCCTTGTCGTGAGCCGGGTGACCCTTGCGCATCTCGGGAAGCTCCTCGACGCTGCCAAAAACGCCTTCGAGACCCCAGCGTACAAGGTCAACGCCGGCAGCCGTGAGGCGTAGGCGCTGCTTGCAGGTGATTGTGGTGGTGTTGAGGCCGGCGTACTCGCGCAGGTCCTCGGGCGCCATGAGGGAGAGCTTAAAGTCGTTTTGGACGAGGACGCCGGTGACGAGCTGTTGCGGCAGGGAGGTGGGGTCGGAGAGGGATGTCGGGGGAGGGATGGTGGCGAGCTTGCCGACAACTTTGGCCGTCTTGTCCTGCTTGAAGGGGATGCGGAGCTCTTCGCAGTTTTTGGGACTAAAGACCTTAACTTTTGCCGTCTTGCTTGCGTTGAGGGAGAGGAGCTTGGATTTGAGGCGCATCATGTTATGCTGCTCGCCGTGGACGAGAATCTTTGGAAGGTGTCAGTCTGCTTGATTCCTTCCCCGGAAGTTTGTGATGGGGAGTAAGGGAGAAAGGGGTTCACTTACTACCACTGGGGCTGCGACTTCCTCGATGAACTCACGGTTCTCCGTGCCATCAACATGAGCTGCAAAGGAGTACTCGGCAACGCTGCACCGACGGGGGATGAAGACCTTTTCGCTCTCCCCGCCGGGCCCGCGTCGGGCACCAGCTGTCGTCCGGCTCATGACGGCCTGGATCTGGTCGGGCTCCTGCATGATTTGCTTGGCCATGGTGCCCTCGACGCTGTAACCGGTGATGATAACGCCGTTCTTGTCGTTGGGGGCCCACCTCTCGAGAAGTTCTCTACTCACACCATTCTGAAGCATACCAGGACTGGCCAGCATGACACAGCCTCCGACGTCGTCGAAGCGGTCGAGGTTTTTGAGGGAGCGGATGTACTTGAAGTCCCAGGGCCCGCCCTTGCCGGATCCGTCACCGGATGCTTCGGCCTCGGCCATGCGCTCGCGGAAGAGGCGCTTGATGTTGTCGTTCATGGCGCCGACGTAGGTCTGATAAACAACCATACACTTTCTGGCGAGATTGCTGGCGTAGTAGATTGGGAACCGTTGGAAGTCTGCATGCTTGCCCCAGTACTCATCCAGGATGAGCAGAAGCTCCTGGGCTCTGCCGAGGGCAAAGACTGGCATCAGGACCCTGCCTCCGCGATTAAGGATGCTGGTAATGGACTTCATCAAGGCCTGCTCGCGCTCCAGGCGGGGTACGTGGGAGGCAATGCCATAGGTCGACTCCGTGATCAGGACATCGATCTTGACGCCCTTGGGAACTTCTGCTGAGACCAAATGTCTATCTTGCTCTCGTGAGTAGTCTCCGGTAAAGAAGATTTTGAGACCCGCAATCTCGATGAGGAACATGGCAGCTCCGAGGACATGGCCAGCAGGATAGGGCGTAATGCGGATGGACGAAATGGTGTGTGTGGTGTGGTAATCAATGGCCTCGATTTGAGGGAAAGTGTTAAGATGGTCTGCTTCCGTGTAGACTGGTTGTGACGTCGGGTTGGACGAGGTATTTCCAACACGGACACTGTCTTGAATGAGCCACTTATAGATGGCCTTTGTTGGATGGGTCATGAAGACCCGGCCTCTGAAGTTAGTCTTTGATAAGACGTATGGCAATGAAGCCGCATGATCTACGTGGAAACTGCCACTTATTAGCATGTTCAACACCAAAGTGTCATACAACCAACACCAAATACTCTAGGGCGACAACGCCAAGAGCTATCACAATGGCGAGGACGACAAGGCAAGGCAGGTGGGAAGAATGAGGTCTTTGTATTGTTTCTGTGTACAAGAATGAAATAGCATAAAAGGCGTAGCAATGGGCTCCATCAGGTGCGAGAGTCGCCGAAAGACACTCGCTATTCCTGAGCCAGAGGTATGATCCCAGATATTGGTTTCCAAGTTCGTTCACCGCCTTGCCCTGCGATCCAACAGCATTTGGGAGGGGGAAGGGGGGCTTACTGGCTGATTAGAAGTACATCAACCGTACTAAGATCGAAGTCGTCGAAGAAAGGCAGCGCTGCAAGGCCATCGTATGCTGGGTGCTGGCCAGCATCAAGCTATGGGAATGGTAGTTAGTACCTGCCTGTTCAATCAAGGAAGGAAGATTGTGCTCGTACCATCACTGTCTTGCCCTTGTATTGGATAATGTGACATGACCTGCCGACTTCGTTGCCACCTCCAAGGCAGAGAAACATCAGCTCGTCGGCAGGGTCGACCGGTTCCTCAGAAACGGTGGCGGCCATGGCCGAAGCCTTTCTCTTTGACGCCATAGCTGCAAGTGTCGCAAGTGCCGCAAGTCGCAAACAGTCGATGAATCTGTATTTGTTAATATCGCACCGATTGGTGGCGGTCAGTTCCCGATTAGATCATCTGTAGCAAACGAGTCGGCGCGAGATGGGTTGTCGGTGAGGCGGTGACAATACTGCCACAGGCTGAAGCAGAGAAGTTGAATTGCAAGTGATAGGAGGTCAGCGGGCAACGCGCAGGGCCAACAGGGTCGCGTAAAAGTTGGCGGCAGCTGTCTGGTCCGCTACCAAGCTCCAGCCTAAACGCTTGGACCATGTAGCACTTGGGCGGGGACAAGGCTGCGCTATCACGTGACTTTAAATGAACGCGGTCCTCAATTCTTTCTGGCGACAGCTCCTGCTTCCATCTGCTCAGTAACCCGTCGCTCCGATCATCACCAGACGACCAACACGACAGAGCAATACGCACGCCCGAACGTCACGCTGTCGCCGAAACAACGTCCTGCGATCTCGACGCGATCTGGAAGTTTTGTCCTTTTGGCCGACTAGACCGGCACGTCAGATGGGCAGAGTCGCGTGAGGATTGCTCAGGCTGTCCGGCTTGCTGAGCTTCACCAGAGCGAGCGGCTTCTGACCAATCTCTCGATTCGATCGCAACCTATCTCTACTACTTGTAACAACAGCTGTCAAGATGGCGCAACCCCAGCCTCAGATGCCTCAGAGGGCATTCTCGCCTCCTCAACCTACATCATCTCCTGCTGCGACGCAAGCCGGCTTTGCGCCTCCGCCTAATAAAAGACCGCGACTTTCCCCTGGCGCAACTCCCCAACCCGAATCGCCGTATTCTACTTCACCCTACGCACCGAGCCCAGGCGCACCGGTTACTCCTTCCACCGCCACGACGTCTGCTGCATCTCCCGTCTTTCCAAACGCTCAGCAGCAGCAAGCCGCGACGCCGACCTACACGGGACCATACCAACATACAAACGGCAATACCACCCCAGCTCTTGCCCTTCCATCAGCTCCGACTCCTCCACCGCAAGTGTCAACCCCGCAGCCACCAGCGCCTCCCACTCTGCCGCAATACACCTCAGCCACTCTGGCTCTCGGCAACAATAATTCACCTAGCACACCCGTCATGCAGCAGCCTTCGACTCCCGGCGCGATGGGTCCGCCTTCGAGACCTCCTGATCGACCACAAAAAGAGTACGAATACGACGTCACGGATTCGCTGGCAGGCACGGGCATCGATCTACGAGCTGAAGAGCAGTTCCTGTCCGAACTGTATGTTCCGGAATCAAGAACCGGCTTCGCTCCCTACCCCCAAGGCAACAAGGGAAGCTTCTACGGCGCGGGTCCTGCGAACCAGCCTGCTCAGCCAGCCGGCACCGATACCCAGAACCAGTTGGTAGCACAGGCGGCGGAGAAGGCATGGCAGGAATCCGCAAAGCGCCTGGCTCAGACCAGGACCATGGAGTTGAACAACGCTTTCTTGCAAGTCCCTGTTGTCTACCGAAAAGCGGAGAAGTTTGCCAGAGATCAAGGCCTGATACTCAACTTGGAGACCAAGAACAGCAACCAGCCTATGGGGCGTATGCGTCTTCCTGAAGAGTTTCCCGCGCCTACTGTGACGGTAACCACTAAGAAAGGACCGGACTCGACCATGGTGACAACAACAGGAACCTGGATACCTCAGGAGGCTTTCTTGGTCGATCAGCTAGCACTGCTGTCGCTGGCTACTAAGCAGCGTCTCAGAACGCTCATGGAAGATTCCAACCGAATTGCGAAAAACCGGCAGACTTCGTCGCATGGTGAAGTCCCGGAGGAATGGCAAGTGGCCGCTGCACCACTGAAAAGCGCGCCGGAGACGCAAACAGAGGATGGAACTCAGCAGAGTGCGACTGAGAATGGCGCCAGTCCTCGTCCGAGCGCTCAGAAACGTTCGTGTACACGTGTTCCGTGCCAATATAACATACTGACTCTTATTCAGGCCCTCTTGAAGATGCTACTTCCAGCCAGGCGAGCAAGGTGCAGAAGATATCTGCTACGAATACCATGAGTCACACAGTCCGCGAAGTAGGCAAGGCTGAGAGAGACTGGGAGGAAAGACGACTACGGAAGCGCAACGCCCGAAAGGATGGAACCGCAGAGGTCGCATCGACGCCATCACGTGCCGGATCCGTTGCGCCTGGAACTCCTGGCGGTTCGGCACCTGACTCAGAGAAGGCCATCTCAAAGAAGGAACAGAAGAAACTTGATGCTGTGAAGAAGGCAGAGGCTAGCAGCCATGCAAATCAAAACATCACGAGTAGCATGTTCGTCGGAATGCCCAAGACAGGATCGCTTTTCGGAAAAAAGAAAGGCGGCAAGTCATACTCTTGGATGACAGGCGGCAGTGGGGCCAGCACGCCGAGACTTGGCACGCCCGGAAAGGCGGGTGCCGCAGCCGCTTCGGGTCCTCCTGCTCCGGCGAACCACGCGCTTACCGTTGAGGGCCGAGCACGACTTGGCAATTGGCGAGAGGATAAGGAAAAGGGCAAAGGCATCCAAGTACGAGACTGGGTGGCAGCCCTAGAGGGTGACGAAATCGAACTGAGAGCCATGCAGGCGGCTTACGATAAGCTGGATACGTCGGAGCCCAAATAGAGGAAGGGCGATGAAAAACCAATCGAAAAGTCGAAGTCGAAATCAGTTTTGTACTTTTATTATTAGCATGGCGTTACGCAGACAGCATCGGTATGGGATCGCGGTCGGTCTGCATAGTATCTTTAAGGGGGGTTTAAAAATGGGCGGCCACACCAGTCAGGCCACGAAGATGCCAGACGACCGAGCCTACATATCCAGGAGAAAGGATGGAAGGACTCTTTTCCTCAGTCGCTTGGGAGACGGGTAGTCAGAAAGATCTGCTCAGAGTCTCGTCCTCAAACAGGGGGATTCACTGAGAATCGTCAAATACAAATCGTTTGCCAGTACACATCAGGGTTTTCACAGACTAGCCTTCCCCGAAAAATGGTTAGTGAGAGGACAACGTGAGTAAGCGACCGCCGGCAGCAAGCCCATCACGGTACGCGAGCAATGCATGTCTCGGGGCTCTCTCGGATGGCACATGGGACTCTCATTCGTCGAGGTGTACGCAAGCGGCGACCTCACTCGTGAGATTGCAACCGAGCCGTCCGCTGAATCAGCCAGGTCCCAGCGATTCGTTCCAAATCGGTGAAAGCTGTGCAAAAGATTGTGATTGTGTGTGAGTGGAAGTGTCTCTTGGACTCGTCACCTTCTTCGATGTCGTCACGTCACGGTGATGGGCTATCACATCTTACCGAAGGTGAGATAGGTATTCCATTTCGATGGGATTCCGAATCTGCCTTGCTTGCTAACCCCGTATGTGCCATGCTTAGTAGCCGTTTCCGCTCCAAGAAGCTAAATCGAATCAGTGGTGGCGTCGTGGCGGAGAATTCGGCACCATGTGTCTTCCAAATACCTACCTACACTTACTTGCATAGCACCATTCACGGGCGCTTATCATCGTTTGCCTTTGACCGAAGATGGATATGGCGAGGGGGAGGCTGGGAGGCAAAGGCGGTGGACGAACAACGTGGGATGGTTGGCATCAGACATACATAACCCTATTTGATTCCAACATGACTGACAAATACTCCCAGCTTGAGAAGAAAAAAATTGCCCACCGGTGAGGAGGGAGAAAACGGATGACTGAAGCTTCTGCATAAGCTTCTTCTCCTTGGACCTTCTCTCATCCACACCCTTGCCCATTGTTTGCATGTTTTGGGCCTATCCGTAAGCTCATGTGGAGACAGGACCGGCAAACATGGGGCGGGGATCGCAATGTCTTGACATCGATGGCGTTCGGTTGGGGCTGCCGCTAAGACGGACGTAGAACGAGTTGGGACTGGGGGCTCTTTTTCTCTCTCTCTTCCACACACATCAAGTCTTCTCTGCCGTGTGTGTCTGCGTGTAATAACTCCGCCCAACAACTCAATTGAGATCGGCGGCAAATATGATTGGGGGGCAATCAAAGACTTTTTTTGAATGCAGGTCTCTTTTTGGACCTTGCTCTGATGCCTCTAATGCCCCTTTCGGAAACGGTGCATGAGGCCTAGCGGTGAGCCGGACTGGGCTCCGGCCCATGGGATGTATCAACTCCGTGACTCCGGTCGTGGAAGAGCAAACGTTTTGGGTGGATCGCAAAGGAAGACAGCACCAAAGAGGGTACGGTACCTTACACATCACAACCCACGCCACGCTATCTGTTGCTTTCTTGCCTTAGCTCGGCACATCGAGCTAACCCCCGGAAGCTCCAAAGAAGGACTGGAAAGATCGAGGGGATCTCGCGCGAACTCGCTTCGCTAGGTAGGCTTACTTAGCCAAACTTGGCTTTGCTTGGGCGGCTATGTGTGCTCTGAACGCCACCATTTTTTTATGCGAGTTGCGGCCCGCTAGTGAGGTTCTAAGACGGCGTGAATTACAATTACTTTGCTGACATCATGGGCTGCAGGTGCCAGGTGGATGGAAATGGTGCTGGTCATGGTTGAAGCTACATTGCTGGGTGGATGGGTATGCGGGCGAGAGCAAATGAGGATTTTCTACTCGTACAATCGCAGCCCCCGTTGCGGATGGAGTTGTACCCGGGAAAATTGTTGGTATTAGGACATTTCAGTTTGCCAGTGTATAAGTATAACAGCCTGGCTTGGTCCACATCCCTTTGCTATTAGACATGATCCAAGACAACTCAATCTAAGACGCCCCCTTACACTCCGTCTATACAGTCTCACAACGTTCATCTTAAGCGTCGAAATGGTCAAGCTACTTTCAGCAACCCTCCCGGTTGCTTTTGCGACTCTTGCCGCGGCCAAGTCGTGTCAGAACCTCACAGTCGAAGTGTCAATCACATCACGGAACGGCGTCTTCAATGTCTCAACACCAAAGACAAACATCGATGTCACAAATATCATGCTAGGCCTGGCACAGCAGGGCAACAACTTCTCCGCAACCCATCTCACAGATGTAAGGACTCCCCCACCATCCATAGTTCATAGTACACACCAAAAGACACTACACGATGTTAACATGATATGTCCATCATCTAGTACGCAACAGTCGGAGGCACATACCACCTCGCCTCAACCTACTGCCAACCAGACTCCGGCCCGGGCTCCGTCCTCCAGATCCTCACCCACGGTATCGGCTTCGACAGGAGCTACTGGGACTTCTCCGCCAACAACTACAACTACAGCTACGTCGGCCCCGCCGTCGACGACTACGGCTACTCCACCTTCGCCTGGGACCGCCTCGGCATCGCCCAGTCCTCCCGCGGCGAACCCGTCAACGAGATCCAGGGCTTCCTCGAGCTTGCCGCCCTCAAAGCCTTGACTGACAAGCTCCGCGCGGGCGCCGTCCCGGGTGTTCCCTGCACGTTTGACAAGTACGTCCACGTCGGCCACTCCTTCGGCTCCGTCCACTCGTACGCGCTGTCCGCCATGTACCCGGACGCCTCGGACGGTCTGGTGTTGACGGGGTTCTCCGCCAACGCCACCTTCCTCGCGGATTTCTTGCTGGGCGGGGCCTTCGTCCAGGCGAACCAGATTCCCGCGCTGAGCGACTACGTTGATGGCTACTTTGCGCCTGCGTACGAGGGCGGCGCGCACATTAATTTCTTCGCGCCGGATAACTTTGACCCTGCCATCCTGACGGCGGCGTATAAGACGGGCAAGCCGGTGACTGTGGGTGAGCTGCTCACCATTGGCGGCGAGGCTGGCACGACGAGCGGGTTCAAGAAGCCTGTTCTTGTCATCACGGGTGGTAAGTCTCGAGAGCAAATGCGGAAGCCTATCCAGTTGACATAGGAAGGAGAGCCATGCAAGCTAACGATTGGACCTTTCTAGAACGCGACGTTCCTTTCTGCGGTGGTGATTGTCTTGCAACTGGCAACCCTAAGCTACCTTCGATTCCGGCCGGCGTTGCACCGCTGATCAAGAATGCGAGCTCTTTTGAGGCTTATGTTGTTCCCGATGCTGGCCACGGCTTGGCATTTGTAAGTTTTTTCTCTTGTAGAGCTGAAATGATTTCGAGAAAGTTTCTAACGCATATCATGACAGAGTTACTCCCACGTCGAGGTCACTAGCAAGATCCAGGATTTCCTTGCGCAGAATGGGCTTGCCAACTAAAGGTTGGGTTCGAAATCATCTTTCGTAATGAATTAATGTTGGATTGGACCTGCTTCAGGTTTTATGTCGTAGATCTGGTCTTTCTCCTATAGCAAAAGTCGTCCAGCGAATTAGTGCACTCTCTTTTTCACGATATCAAGACAACTAATATACCTATTTAACACATTTAAATTGTGCTCTGCATTCATCACTGCTCAGTAACCATTAAACTACAATGAACGAGAGCATACTGAGAGATGAAACTTGCCGTACCCAAGTCATCTCATGTGCTACACATTACCTGCAAAGTGACGGATTATAATCATACCCGAAAGAGCCCGCTTGGCCTACCTTTTCCCCCGTCCGTATATCCGTCCTTCAAGGCACTACTCGCAAAATGACGTCGGCTTTCACTAGCCCCCGGATCCGGATCCGAACGGCTCAACGCGGTAGGATCAAACTACCGAAGTACCTACCCCAAAGTCTGACGTGAGACAACAGAAACCACACCACCACGAGAAAGCAAAACCTCTTATAGGTATTGAAGAAAGCTACCCCCCTCTCCATTCGAATCTGAGACCAAATCTCCAAGTCCCAGACACATCCGCACCATTCGTTTTGCCCGATTGTATAGAGGTGCACCTTCTTCTGTTTCCCCCAACTATGCAGCTGTGGTCTCACAAGGCGAAACAAGACGCCCTAAACCAATCAGACGAAGAGCGGCGTCAGCAGCCCTCGTTGCGCGAGATGCTCGACAAAAAGTCCAAAGCAACAGAAGGTGATCACAAGGACTCATCCGGCCCGATACCGATCATTCTATGCGGTAAGACAGAGGCGATTGGTCGCGGCGTCATCGAGGGCCTGAAGCCGGAATATGAAGGTAAGCTCCCAAGACAGCGCATTCCAACCCCCGGAATTGGACAAAAAGAAGGAAAAAAAGAGTGAGAGATCGAGTTATGAGACCGAATTGATGAGAGAGTCCTGAAGAATTGAGGCTCACAGTCCCCCAAATAGTAATCCACTTCATCACCACCCCGGCCTCAGGAGCCCTCATCATCCCAGCCCTCCTGACGTCTTCTCCACCGCCGCAGCACCCAGACACCAGCACAATCGGCAGCGGACACTACGCCTCCCCGCCCCGCGCCATCGTCCTGGGTGGCGCATTCGATGAAGAGGCCGTAAAATCCCTTCAGAACGCCGTCGTCGAACAAGGGGTTGCGGCTGCGTCGAGAAAGGTTCCGTGGCTGAGGCACGACGGGAGTAAAGCCGCGCCACCTCCCGGACCAGAGTACGGCAAGGCCATGGTCGCGAGGGTGAGGGAGAAGTTGGGGCTGTTGGAGGCGGAGGGAAAGTTGGATGGTGGGTATGGGGGTGACGAGTGGTATTAAAGGGCCTGGTGTTGGTGATGCGGCAGCTTGGTGGCAGCACGAAAGGGTAGTATATGGGCTTTGAAGTGGGGGTAGGAGCATGGTGTTGTCGAGGTGAGGCCTCGCTACAGCAACAGTTCATACATAAGACACAATCATCGGGTCGATCAGGTAGATTACGATAAAGTTCATTAATCCAGACGGGTGTTCCGCCATTCATGCTAAATCCCCTCTTCATGGTATCATTAAATATGTGAAGGTGAATAGAATATCCTGCTTTCTTCACGCATTCCCCCCCTTCCAGCACTATACTCCCAAAACATCACTCAATCGCAGTCCTCCTACGAACTGGAAGTGGAGTTGATGCTGAAGCGGTAGCTGGCCTGGAGGACGTACGGGTCACCGCCGGGCTCGTAGATCTGCTTCTTGGTGCGGCCCCAGGCGGGGTTGTTGATGCCGTCGATCCAGTCCTGGACCTCGAGCACGACGCAGCCGTACTTGGGGATGATGCGGGGGAACTTGGCGTCGTCAAAGAGACCCTGGCTCTTCTTGAGGGCCACGGAGCCGTTCTGCTGACTGCAGCTGTACATCTGGAAGGCGTCCTGGTCGGTGTAGACCTCTAGCTGGATACCGGACCACTCGGACTGCATGCGGGCGACGTAGCCCTCGGTGCGCCAGTTGTAGGGGCCCAGGTCGTTGCGGTTGACGATCCAGCAGTTGTCTATATTTGTGTGGTTAGCTTTCATGTGTGCACTCTGCGATAAGAATTGGTCCATGCTTACCATAGCCGGTGCAGTTGAAACCGCAGTTGTTCTTGAGCTCGGGCTTGGAGAAGTCGGCACCAATCTGCTTGGGCGCGCTCCAGAAGTCGTTGACGGAGCCCTTCTCGTTGGCAAGAATCTCACCGGTGGGGATGAGAATGTTGTCAACGCCCACCCTCTGGCCATTGTAGGGCATGTGAAGTGTGTGGTTGAGAGCCAAGCTGGTCTCGTTGTTGGAGAAGCCATCGAGGTTCCAGTAGGTGTGAGAGCTGAGCATGATGGGCGTCTTCTTGGTGGTGGGGACGGCGATCATCTTGAAGTCCCAGTTCCAGCCGTTGAGGGTGTAGGTGATGAGCGACACCACTTCGCCAGGGAAACCCTCCTTTCCGTCAGGGTCGGTGAAGGAGAAGGTGATGCTGTTGTTGGTGTGGGAGACAATGGTGAAGTTGCGCCAGTCCCATCCGTCAGAGCCTCCGTGGAGGGTGTCGAGGCCATTGTTGTCGTTGAGGTCGATCTGGTATTTCTCACCGTCGATCTCAAAGGTGCCGTTCTTGATACGGTTCGCGTAGCGACCAGGGACACCGCCGAAATGGGGGTGCTGGCGATCCGTCTCGTAGTAGGTGGCGTTATCCCAGCCAGCGACAATGTCGCGGGGGATGCCGTACTTGTCGTTGATGATGAAGTCGGAGACGGAGGCACCGTAGGGAATGAAGGCGGCCTTGATGTGTTCGCTGGAGATCCAGTACTTGCCGTCCTTGTCAGGACCCAGCGAGGAGGGAGCCGTGGTATTACCACCGGATCCGCCAACGAACTGGGCGAGGGAGGTGGCCGGGGCGAGCAGAGCTCCGACGGCGACAGGGAGGAATGTTGAGCGCATCGTGTAGGTGTGCCAGGCAAGGTAACAGAGGATTGAAGCACAGAGGACGGCGGACCAGAACAGAGGATGATGACGGGAGGACGGACAGCAGAGCCTGTGAGAGGGGAAGGTGGGATGAAGCGGGAGCTTATATCCCAATGGCAATGGTGCTCCTCCCCTCATGCGGGAGGAGCGGAGAGACTTGCACATGGCAGCAAGAATGGGACGATTCTGATCATCGGACCAACGAAGCTACGTTATGCAGCTCGAGGATGGCAGAGCAGGGCCGCAGAGTGCAGAGAACCAGCTCCACTCTACTCTGGGGTGAGGGGGATGACGGGTCGGGGAGAGGTACACCGTATCCCGGACGCGTGGGAAGAAGAGAAGGACGAGGGCAGAAAGAAGCAGTAGCAAGGGCCGATCAACGGATTGGATGCGACGGCATGATGTTACTGGAGCGTCTAGACGAACATGTGGTGGTGGAATCCTTTCGCTTGTCTGGTGTCTGGTGCTTGGTGGTTGGCCCCGGCAAGAAGAAGACAAACAAAACAAGCTGGGCCGAGCTAATGACTGACTAGCTAGCTAGTCGTAGCGTGAGAAAGCTTTTTCTTTCGCGGTCAATGGCAAGTAACGTTGGGCGAGCCGAGATGCAGGAAGCCGGGGTATGAGCGTGCGGAGCAAGTCCCAAGGTAGGCGTATCCGTGTAAGGTAGCTAGCTAGGTAATCCAATTGCTCATGAATTGAGGTGAGGTGCAGGGGAGCCAGCTCCGGACAAGCAGCAGGGCAGGGCGAGGCTGGGCCGACGGCGAGGTCGAGAATGGCGGCGATGATACCCTCTCCAATGGGACGAGCGGGGTACAATTGGCGCGTGGTTGGCTACGTTTGGTGCTTGGGTAGCTTTCAGGAACAGGGCCGGCTAGGACAACGGGCCAAAAGTTCCTTCTTGGATTGGTGGGTTGGATCGACGTTCCAACAGCAATGAGGAAGAAAAGACACAAAGTCCGGGGTATGGTTGCCGGACCGGACGCGATGACGACGTTGGGACCTTGGGAAAAACTTGGGGGAAGAGGAGAGATTCCCCATGGTCCATAGATGCCGGGGGGTGGGGAGTTGGGGAGAGAGAATGGAGAAACAGGGGACGGCTCGGTGTCGGGAAAGGCGTTTATGCGTGTTTCATTGGCGCGCGTGCGCATTATCCCGATGACCCGAGTACGGTACAAGGTATTCTGCAGTTTCTACGGATGTGGATGGCTTCTTGGTCTTGATCACGCTGGGCTGCGAACGGTTCAAGTTTGCCGGAGAAATTGAGGTGCGGGGTTTTAGTGCCACTTCCCCAGATGTTTCTCCCTGCTTCCCCGCTCTGCGCCACTCGATATTCAACTTCTCCTCTCTGACCAAAGTCAAGCTTTTTCTGGCCGATGCTGCAGCTGCACCAACAATCCGTCACGAGTTGCCTGGCAAGGTCAGGGTATCCCGTAGCATCATACTTGTAGGCACGCAGGTCAAAGGCTGCCGCCGCGACGGCATTTCCGAGGCACCTCCTCCCTTCCGTCAACTCTGAACTATCCACAAGTCCAAACCTATCCTCGCTGTTATTGTGATCAATTGTAATTCCTCTGACGACTAAGAATGAGGTTGACTACCTATAATCAGGATATATGGCTACAATTCATTTTTCCCATCCTCATGGGTATTTCTTCCGTAGATAATATAGAGACCCCATGGTCATATCAATATAGAAAGTCTAAACGAACAGTTCGCAATTTTGCCGTAAAAAAGATCAAATGAAACTAAACAATGCCATTTGCGCAACCGGCTCTGATTGGCACGCATCGTCCACACCACCCCGGGAAGCAATTTTGGCCTAAAGCAAGCCACACACACACACATCTGCCAACCTCCTGGGACACCCCCGGACTGCAGAACCAAAAGTCAGCTGTGTGGCACGTGGAGCTGGAGCTGTCACAACTACTGGTGATGCAATGTTCTATGCGGATATCTCAAAGAAAGATGTTTTGTACACCCAATCTTTGAAAACATGCAAGCCACAGTCGACATCTTGAACAAGCGACTTCACAGGAACTTGGCCAGGCCCATCCATAGACTAGACTATGTGTTCTCCGTGAGCCTATTGCTGCAGCTTGAGGCTAGCAACTTCTTGCGTCGCTTATACGGTCTACCTTGGCGTAATTAGTTCTCTGTTCTCTCTCGTATCCATGTCAGTCTGTAGCTCAAATTCTATCCCATAAAGTCGTTCTCAATCATAATTTGAACGGATCAAGGTGAAAACAAGCCATCTCAGCTCATAAGCGACGTACGTCTCATCGAAGCCTACCATTTGTCGGCGCCGAAGCTGTCTGTCACATTCAAGTAGCCTCCCCCTCGGTACCACCATCCTCCGAACCAGAACTTCGGGTCGCTGAATCTTGAAAACCCCAAGTGAGATGCAAGCAGGGTTTCATTCTGACAGACTTCCCCCAAGCCACGTGGCGAGTGGTTCAGCGCGGCTCCAGCTTGTCTTTCTGTCGCCCGAATGGGTGGCCACCTCGTGTGGCAACTATCAATGCTGCCATGTCACTTGCGAACCATTCATTCGGTAACTCCATTCGACGACCGGATCACACGGTATCTAGGGAGGTCGGACAGCTATTGGAGCTCATGGCGAAGTAGGATCTGTTGGCCGTCTTTTTGCGGCCGTGGTCTCCACAAAATATGCGCCGGACATGAGCTCGATGCCGTTATCTGCAACGAACTTGTGCGGTGCACTTGGTCAGCTGACCATGATTCGAGCAGTGCATGAAGTGGAAATGGTCTGGCTTTTCGAAGCGGTCAAACCAAGACTAGATGAATAGTGCAGTACTGGCGAGAATGACATTGACGCTCGCTGGACTTGCTACTAGGTATGTTAAGCGTCTTCCCATCCAAGATCTGCCGCAGTATGTTCTTAGTGTCTCTCTTCAGTGTCAACGTTGTAGCGGCACAAGGCGGTGCTTTCACCACGTTGGTTGACTACCGATTAATTAGGTAGTACTTGCCCCAAAGCTCTCTCTCACGTACACACTGCAGTAGCTTATGATGACTTGAGGGTGAATACGTTTCTTCCTCTCATACCTTCTTGGCAGCAGAGATCGTAAGGAGGAGATTAGATCCAACGTTAAATACCCGGACCCAGGATGGGGAAGAAACGACCTCTAACATTCATATTGACTACCGTTACGCTACAGAACCGCACTACAGATGTCTTGGGCGAGTAGCTACTCGTTCCCTTAGAGCACAGCTCAAGTTGGCCTCTGACGCACGCAAACCCTCCCCTCTTCCGAGTAAGCAGGTTAGTCGATCTTAGTATCACCGAAGACGAGTCGGAAAGACACATTCGAATTTCAACGGCACTGTTCAACGGGTGATCCATGAGACCACCTCTACTGTCATCCTCACAACTGGAGTTCGTACATTCTCAGACGTTGGGGCCTATGCCCTTCAGAGAAGGGAGACGGTCTCCGCGAGCCGTCTATTCCGTACTAGTAAACATCCTTCATGTCTTTTTTGAGTCTCTAGATGTTGGTGTACGCGTCAGCGTGGGAAGGCTTTCGGCCGATACGAAGCTCAAGAATCCGGTATTGGCCTGTGTACGTTATGTATGTTGACGGGGGAAGTTGTGGGGATAGCCCGCGATTCCCCCGCGGAGTGTAAGACTCATATGTCAGTGGAAGGCCCGTTGTCGTGACCCTTGATGCCTTCCAATGACCTCTTTTCGGCCCTCATATCGCAACACAAGAGGATGACCCTTCGTTGAGGTTGAGACAAGGATGATCAAGCGAGCAGAAAACCAGAATGACAGAGTACATTGGCGGAGTATAGACAAGGTAGTTCCAGAGCACCTAGCAAGAAACTCTCGCAAATGTAATGACAGATCATTACGGTGCGTATTTCAAGCCAACTTTCAGTAAGCAGATTGCAGATTGAAGTTGCAGACGGACAAATGTAACAGATAGACACCATATCACGTCTTGGCTCCCTCAAGAGAGTGCTTCATCCACCGTCTCGTGACCAGTGGAAGATATACAACGGGGAATCTACCCAAAACAATATGAATTGTAGGTACGAGAGATGTGAGAACCTTGCTTGCTCTCAGCTATCGAACGAAATAAACCTGCCAGAATCAGGTCATGATCAAGGAGCCAGCCAAGGCACCGTTCGATCGTGTCGGTTGTCTCTGCAGAAAAGCTTTCACTGGTACTCATAATCGTCAAGAGCTTCCTTCCCGCTTTATTGAGAGCTTGTTCAGCTGCCAGCTGAATTAAGGCACCGTAATAACAGATCTATTCTTGTTGCTACGGCGCTGAATGTGGATTTCAGATGAGCATTCATCATTGAAGAAGTTTCTGCACATTGCAATTGGACGGCTTACTTTGATATGGCGTCTTTGTATAATGGATTCTGTTGACAAATCTGCGACGTCTCGTTGCTCTTCTATCGAAGTATTATTCAAATGCCGTTTACCCTGTGGAACAGGTCGGGATCCAAGTACGAATTGACCTACACCGTCTTCTATCGAAGATGACTTCATGTCCTCTTCCCTAGATCACGGAAATGAGGTTGACGTGCTTCTTCGGCCGGAAGAAAAGCAAGTCGTAAGCCATTTTACCAGACTATGAAACCACGGCTTCGCATTTTCTATGGACCGACCGAGCTTCGTCATCCAGAAGCACTTGTGGAAGATTCCATGCGATCATTTCCTTTCCTAGGGACTTTGTTTCAGACAGCTGGCGAACTATACGATTCCTTTGAAGTTTAGTTGATCAGTCAATCACTTGAGCGGCTCATCTCGTCAAAACTAGGAATCTATATGAGATATTTGAAGGTATACACTCAGTACTCTCGTCTACCTTTGTCATAACTACCTGATGATTATGCAAAATGAAACGTGAAAAGATGAGTATATTTTCCTTTTCTTCATTGGTATACCTTGTTTAGACATCTCTACTCGACTCTATAACAAGACACTGACATATATATAGATATTGGAACCAACGGAACCAGGCTCTCACTAACAGCCACTTTCACCTATCCGTAGCTTGTTCATCCTGCGATGGCCCCAACGCTCACATCGCAGCGGCTATATAGATTTACTTCCTGGGCGGGCTATCACAACCTCTAATTCATCTCATGTTCGTCGAAGCATAGCCCCCCCCCCCCCCCCACCCTTCAAGTCCAAGTCCGCCAACCGCCTATATCATGCCAGACCTTCACCAGCATCCATTCACATGATAGCAATGTGGGCAGCTTTTGTGCCTATGGACTGAAACTGATGATGAAAAATTAATTGTCGTTAACAGTGTAATCAGGTGGTTGTAGACGAGTCCAGTTTATAAAAGCTCATAAGCCATCCCAGATGAGGCAGACTCTCCCGTCCAACGTGTGACTACACGCATATGGCACAATGTATATCTATATATCTATATATCCTGGTTCTTCTTCTCCGTAGACATTCATCCACATTCACCCTGTGTCTGAAGGCTTAACCCCGCTTCTCAAGCATAGGGCTGCTCCTTACGATGCATTTCAAGAACATCGCAAGCAGAACACTAGCTGGGGTAGGGTGAAGGTGAGGATATGTTTAAATCCTCTTTTGGGCTAATTTACTCGGTAGATACAGGTTTTAGGGTCTTGATTTGCGAAAGATAGATGCCATATTTCGAGGATTCGGTATCCAAGTCTTTAGAGAAACAAGACATCCAACCCACATCCTGTGAACCAACTCAAGGCTGATTTTTGTTCCATTGAGGTAATCCAGAGATGTACTGTCACACACGCCAATGGTATCTGAAAATTGCCTTCTGATTTTCCTATTTTAGGCAGTAGACGTCGAAACACACAGGGAGTCACACCACGATTTGTCCACTGGGTGGTTGGCGGCGGTGGGTACGGTGGTCACCAGTAACGGGGGGAAGGTCAGATTGAGCCGGCCGGCGACGAGCTCGTATGTGGACTCACAGCCGAGGGATATGACGACAAGCTCGGTTCTTTCTTTTCTCCATCCATCGAAGCGAGTGCTTGGGAATCAGGCATGCTCAGCGATGGAAGAAGAAAGCACCTGTCAGACTTGTCTTCGATCCTCGGCACACTCTCAGCAGATGTTGGTGGTGGAGAACAGGATCGAATTCCCATCCACCGATTTTACCTCGCGTGTATATTCAATACTTGGTACACGGTACTCCGTATACGGGCTCACCTCGGTGACGATGGATTTACAGATTGCAGGGAACGCCGAGCAATCTCTTCTTACCTTGCCTTGCCTTACTTCGGTGAGGCAACGAGAGCGAGATGTTTGACCTTGGTCCCAAAAAGAAAGTGCGCAGTTCCAGCCTCCAAGTGTTTCGATTATGGGTTCCTTCCGACGTCGAGCCGCGAGGTGTCCCTCCCGTCCTCTGTTGGGTAAATGGAAGTCAACAAAACCGGCAATGGCAGGCAACCTTGAGGTCAACAACAACAGCAGGAACAGCAACAACAACCGGCTGCAGGTAGGCACGGCCCGGCAAAAGACGGTTACGTAGCACCTTCTCATTCGCTTCCGTAGAGGTGACGCAAGCCAAATGGAAGGTAGAGAAGTGGACGGAACCTACCTTGGAGAGGTAGGTACCTTAGGTAAGTGTGCGGCTGTTGCCCTCGGTGAAGTGGTACCTTAGAGGAAGGTGTGGGCGGGTATCCGTCACACCTTCACACCTTTGCGCCTTTCTTTGATTGATTGAATATCCGTGGCCGTAAGGTACGGTGTACCCCTTCCTTTCCATTCCTTATCCATCAGATACCTTACTCTAGGGCAATCTTCACATGCTGTTTGCTCACATTTGCTGCTGTCGGCTTGCCCCCTTTTTTTCCCTCCTCCTGTCCTCACTTCCATTCGCATCCCCATGAGAGGGAAATCCGCAAAGATCCATCATCTCAAAACCCTCCCCCAGACGACGCCGATGCGACAATCTGTCCCAAACAGAAGACACATTTTCTCGGCCCCGCAAACATGATCCATATGCCCTCGGGCAGGGTGACACCGCAGATCCTATTTTCCAGAAGAACAAGCGAACAATTCTGGGACGGGGGGTGACGCAAACGAGAGCCGGTTACAGGGCTCCACCACCACCACCACACCTGTGACCCAGCAAAGTTCGGTCTGCCGTCTGAGCTTGAGGATCCCCGGGTTGTTGTCATCAAAAAAGACGAGAAAATTTTTAAAATTGCATACGCTTCCGCCCAGGGTCCCAAAGGGCCAACACGACAATCACCATTGCAATGCTGTCACCACATGGTCATGGTCACAGCTTGAGCTGCTGCTTCTGGTTCCACCCTTTCCACACCAAACCGCATCGCAACGCACCGCTTCTGAGATGCATCATGGATCCCTCACCGGCAGACTCCCGCGCTCACCAGGCGGAACACCTTCCCCGGTGCCACGAGGTCAATCCCCATCCCTCCGTCCCATCTCATCCCCGACTAGGTTTTAACGGCACCTTTGTGACAGCCCACAGCCAGTACGAATACAGCTAGCACCAACCACCCACTCGGCAATCAACTTCAGCAAGCAAGTGGCTTGTTGTTGAACTTTGATTGCTGTGCCCTAAGCCCTTCACACCGTCTGGCTTTCGACGCTCACAGACGCCAGACGAGCAAGCTCATCATGGATAATGGATGATGGACCTTTTCGAATCGTCAAGGATGCAAGCCTTTCACCGCATGTCTTTGAGGATGCCACTACGGATACCTAACGTTGCCGATGCAGCTGACCGAACTGGCCATGCGAAGAAACGTTCACTCGCTTCCAGCCGCAGCACGTAGGTGCCCGGTCTGACTCGCCATAGAGTTCGTCTCCGAACATCCTCATCAACTTGGGCCAGTCGCAATCAGCCGGTTCGAGACTTCCAAAATGCCGTGTGGTCTGTGCAGCCAATGCCACTCCATACTCAGCAACACTATCCCTATCTGTAGGCAGACACGGATAACTACAAGTACCTTCGCTACAGGCTCAAACGACAGGGCTGAGTCATGACCTGTCGCTTCAAACTCTCTGCGTTCGCCCAAGGAGAAAGCTTCTGGAACCCTTCCATAGCCTCGCTAGACCCATCTTTCAGCATCGCAAAAGTGGATGCACGGTTCCCGTTGACTCTCGAGAGTATGTACGCAGTACGGGTAGTGCGAATATACGACACTTCTATAATTCTTTTACGCCTCTCAGCAATTCGCGAACCAGTTGGCCAGGTCACGAGCATCTGCGGTGAGCGACAGAATGTCCATCACTAATCTCTGTCTTTTGTAACAAACTTGCGCTACTGCCTTAGGAAGTCCCCGGGCCGCAGCACTAGGGCTTCCTGGGCAGCGCCTACTCAGTCTCCGCGCTTGAATACAGCTACGTCGCGGTCTTGCTCACCGAGACAGCCCTCAGAAGAGTTTGGAGATCAAATTTTCAATAGCCAACTCGATCCGCTATCAATATCCACTGTGGTCTCGGTGTCCCTTAGTATACGAGCTCTTCACCGGATGATCGAGACGGGATCTCCGTACCCCCTCAGCCAGACTAGGGGCCCTGCACCAACTCGACACCTTGACCTTCGGGTCATTATGAAGCTTGAACACAGCATAGTTTTTACAGAGATTAGGGGTAACCTTCACCGACAACTCAGTCTCGGCGGCTAGAGTACGTACGTGGCGCTGGCCCCGTTGAAGAGAGATCCACGCTGTGGGCAATTGGTCGGAACTGGCTCCGGGGCAGGCTTCGTACTCCGCAGAGTCCTTCACCAAACGTGGCACCCACCAAAACCCGACCAGCGATGAAGTTCATGCTCCCTACACACCCTGTCGCCATACCAGCATGGCTGGGGTCGCCAAAAGGGCCGTTTTCCTTCAAATTTTCCGTTGGTCCCAAGTGCCCGGCAACGAAAGCCTTGTCTGCAAGGTTCCTGGACGTTGAAATTCGCTCCAATCTGATCACCTTGAGTCGGCGTCTGCCGCTGGTCGTGGGATCGCAAGCCACGAAAGGTGGGCACAAAGGATCACGGCTTCATCCGCCAGCCCAGCATGCGGAATTATGGACGGAGGCGCGTTACACATGGCTTGGTGGAGCTAGCCGAAGTGGTGGCAGGTCCTCACCGTTGGGTTGGGTTGGGCTTTGACAAGGTGTAACCTCATCAGACCTCGGGATACCGTTTGACCGGCCAGCAAGGGCACCACCCTCTTTGCCACAAATGTCACATGATTGACCTCAAATGCAACGGGACTTGCACGCATGAGTACGCGAGCATCGTTGGGCGTCATCTGCTCGCGAACGATGAATCGGAAAGCAACACATATTGCGACCATTTGTCTGGAGGACATTGAGGCGGCCATCAAGACGAGAAGCTTTGCAGCCACCGGCTCACGTTCAACAGCAACTGGTCTGCCGAAAAGGGGGCGGAAGCATGAGCTTCTTAATGATGGATGACCGGTTCCTCGGTATCCAACCGAGGAGGGTCACAATTTTACCCCTGTTTCATCGCATATTTCCCCCAGCAGACCCGAGCCGGCGAATGGGCTAATGCAGGAACGGCGGTGCCAACAGTTTTGATTACCTTGCTTTGAGCGGTACGGGAACAACAGGGCAGTACGTACCGCATTTGTCTGGACACGTGTACCATGACATTGCCCTGCCGCGGCAGGTTCCTCCACCTATGGCAAACCGTCATCCTACGTATGGATATGGGTGCTGTAGGAACTCGTCAGGTCGCAACTTGCTTTACCAGGCCTGTTTCTCAGCAAACGCTGATTTATCTCAGACCACACCCGGCGGGCCATCAACCTTTTGCTCTCGGCCGCAAGGTATCCTCCCCCGAGAACCAGCTGCCCGGATACCTATTCTCCAGGCCATCGACAGGGCGTCTTGGATACCAGCACCAACCAGCCTCCAGGGCCCGGTGTCGAGAGCTCCAACAGACCGGGCCACGATCCCGCGAGGATCCTTGAAACACACAGTGCAATCAGCATTCCCGGGGAAAAGACAACACGGTGCGAAGTACCATAGTACATATTACCGAGTGGACTTGCTAGGTGGAGGAGGCACTTCTTACCCACCCTTTTACCAGGGGGTTCTCAACCCCAACGGCGGGTTTCCTGTACTGAGCCAGTTCCCGAAGGGGCGAGGGCTACTGCAGGGCTTCCAAGCCTACTTTACCTTATGCTTCCATGCTTCCACAGCTTCTGGAAGGCTTCGATGCAGCAGAAGTTCACTGTAAGGACAGTGCTCGGGTCCCTGTCACCGAGCCCTAGGGGCGAACAAAGGTCCCTGAATAGGACGTCAGACAGGGAAGCCTTGGCCGCGCGACATGGAAGGGGCCGAGGGGTATGCGAACAAACGACCGCAGCGCAATGACAGCTACGAATACATTACGATAGAGAAAGGCGACGTCTGCAGGGTTCCAGATTGATTGATGGGAAAGTTGTCTCGTCCGCCGATTTGGAGCAATGGGGACACAACGCTACGCGAGATGGCTACCGAGACGAGAGACAACAAAGGCGACGGACGTTGTCGTACCTTGCCTCCCGTGGAAACATGGTTGTTTGCGGCTGCTGTTCGTTCCCCAGCAAGCCAAGCCCGTCTTGAACGAGAGGTTTGCTCACCTGTCATTTTTGGAATGCTGACAATGATAGAGGTGATGATTGATCGTGTAGGCCACCATCTACCAAACGATTCACTTGGCATGAGAGACTGCAGTTACCGTACAAAATACTCTGCCCGGTAACTGGGAACCCTGCCGCTGCCGCTGCCTCGCCCTCTCCCTAAATCATCATTTGTGACAGGGAGATCGTTGGTTTGCATGCACAATCGCCGCGAATTCGACATGAGATGAGAAACGTGTTTCCAGCGACAAAGCTTTTCATTACTGTGGCCAATCCATGTCACAGCCACGGATTCATCACCGCATCAGTTTCGATTATACTAAAGGCAATGTATTATCACGGCGCCAAAGCGAATTCTTCCCAAGAAAGGCGCAGTCAAAAAGCAATCAGCGATAGGAAACGGATCTGTGCTTTGCAATAGTGAAGTCGCCAAGTACTCACAAAACCGGCGTTTCTGCAAATCACCAGACTGGTGTGCCACCTCGATGACATTGGCTGCGCGAGCGGACGGGAGCGATCCGCTCGCTCCATGCAACCACTGAAGCCCGTCGCCTGCTTGTCTCCTTTGGGCGAGCGGTCAGTGTTTGGTCGCTTGCCAGCAAGTCTGTTACATGCCGTATTGAGAACAGAGGCCGTGGCGATCGTTGTTAGATGAAACAGTCTTACCGCGGACTGATCTTCGTCTGAGGGGCTTCACGGTGGGAGAGGCTAGTGAGAAATCCGCCGCGGATCTTCCTGACGCGATGCTCACCTACTACTCGGAGGTGACAGACACGGAAGGTCGCTGGCCTAAAGGCCTTTTACCCACCTAACCACCGTATCACCGAGCGATCGCCTCCATCAAGAGAGGACATTGGGAATTCTTGTTTTTGCCTCGGAAGCATGCTCAAGGATGCACCGTTAAAAGATCGCCACCAAGTCCCCCTGCTCATCCCGTCTTGCACCCTATGTCCCTGAGAAATCAGAATTGCCTCACTCCCAAAGAGATACTGACAATCGGAATCATCGACTGAGTTTCACAGACTAGACAAGCCGAGCCCGAAGAGTTCAGACGATGTGCCCAATCAACTGACGCATTTGTGCCTACTTTGCGCATCGGCTGACAGGGAGGCCGATTACCTTATCTAATGCTCTCTTTCTCACTGTCAATCGCACAGGAGCTGTCGGTTCTCCGGATACTAGAGATTTGCGGATATGAGAACTGACGCAAATCCTCGCATCGCTTTGTGGCAGAAGCTCATTCTTACATCTCTAAACCGGCCGGCACCGGAACGGAAAACCCGTCACCTATCTAGTCAGAAGAGACAAGAAGGTACACGTTAGGACGGGCGGACCGTCAGGTTTCTGACGATTCAGTAAGTTGATCAATGTCTTGGCTAAGCGGATCTTGGACCGCATGCCAGTTGCCATCCGTTGATATGTTGGTGCACAGCTGCGTACCGTCCAAGAAACATTGGCAAAGTCCCATATTGCCCGTGTACCTCTGACCGAGTGTCGCCCGTTCAGCCGTCGTTCCGCGGCCGCTGGGAAAACTTTGGAGGATTCCGAGCGGCCGTCAATAATTCCTTTTGGATCGCGAGATATTGAGTTCGTGTTTCGCGATGATGACGACACATGGTTAAACTTTTCTGGAACCTGCAGGTTCAACATTACACTGCAGCGTGGTCGACAGTCGATTCACTGTCAGCGGTTGTCTTGTCCCCGTTCCCGAGTGTGCCACGGCGCGCAGAACCTCCCCATTCTGTGGTAGAACGAGGTTTCCAGGTTGCGTGAATTTGACAGAGCCATTGATCTGATTCCCGCCAGCAAACTGGCCAAAGGGGACGCGAAAGGTCGGCTCTGGGAGGGTGCAAAATGCAAAAACGTGGGTCTAACACACAGGATGGTGTTGTAAGCACCGACCCAGGACGGGAACGAATTATAAGATGCTGTGGCTCATCGCGAGGCACGACGGATAGGTCGCACACTAGCCTCGAAAATGAACTGGGAATTGGCTGGTTGCATGCCATGGATTGGTTATTGACGGAACATGCTGGATCTAGCCGCCTCTCAAGGTGTTTCGTCCGACGGGACAATCCCAAGGCTCAAACAACAGAGGCCAGTTCCGCGGCCTGTCCTCGTGTCCGGCGTAATAGCACCAGTTCCGCATATAAGAAGCAAATGAACACTTTGCAGACGACAACAATTATGATGAATCAGCCGACGGAAGAGGCGCGGATCGAAGCGAATATACGGACGAAATTTTGGTCACGCCTTTTTCCTTGCCCGACAAGCTGTCCCCGAATGACAGCTGGGAAGAAATTTTTGAAGCGAAGCAATGGGAACTAGCAAGCGGAAGAAGCAAAAGGAGCAGCTAGGATGTTTAATCTCGAGTGCTTGGATATGACGGTGCTCACCGAGAGGGCACGGGCTCAGCGACGCGAGGAGGCGTGACGATGGGCAACGGATCGCTGTTACCATTCCCCTCCCGAAATGAGGAGCACGGCAGGGAGAAGTGTGACACGCCCGGGTCGTCGTCGCCGGCCGGCCGCCCAAGCTGCTCGAGGAACCAAGGGATGGAATGTACGAGGCAGTAGGATTGACGCTCAGCATCTTGAGTCGGACAGTCACACATGGACAATAGCAGCATATCGGTGCTGTCAGGCTGGGCCTGGCCATGGCTGTCCGACGAAGGCATCACAGGGAACGCGACACACAAAGTTGTAATCACCGAGAACCATCGGCATGGATGCCTCCGTATAATGCGACCCTTCGTTCACATTGCTGCTTCGGTTTGGCCCGCAGCTAGAGCCCACACCCGCCCGAGTCGTGAGAGTCAGACGGGACGTGCAGCCCTCATCAGAATGCAAAGATGGGAGAGCCTTGCAACAATAAGCAAGAATGGGCGGAAGAAGAGACGAGAAAGCGAAAGAGAGGGTGTGCAGCAAGTTTGGCAAGCGAGCAAGTTTTCCCCCCTTCTCTCTTCGCGTGTGAAGGGATATCGGGAACCAAGCTTGCAAAAGCATCCAGACTCTCTATTCTTTTCCCTTTTCCTCCTGAATGCGATTTCCCCCTCCAACTAACACGACATGACGCATGGCCAGCAGCTATTTTTGTTTACCGCAGCACCGGCTCCGATGAATGCTGTGCACACACACACACATACACAGCCAAGCTGAGCTGAGCTGAAGTGAGCCGTGAGGGCGAAGCTAATTAAAGGATGCGACTGACTAAACAGAAAGTCTTTGGCAAAGCATGCGACAGCAGCGTTTTGAATCGGGTTGCAGCGAAAACATGCGCTAAGGATCGCGGCAGAATGACAGGTCGGCAGCAGGTAGAACAAGGGTTCTCTCCAGGCGCTGCGTTTGAGTAAAGGCTCTGGAGGTGGAAGTAGAAGCCTGGGAGAGGTGAAGTGCGGGAGAGAGGCATGGAGGGAGAGAGGCATGCAAGCATGCATGGGAGGGACACATACGAATATCGGTACATACACACGCACACACACACACAGCAATCAGCAGCATGGCAACGTGGATTGGAAGCAACGTCGAGGCTCGTCCGCCAGTCGTCCGTCACCATTCATGTATGCGTGGATGGGTGGACGGATGGATGAATTGGTCGGATAGAGTGCACCCCTGGAGGCCAATGACCCCTGCTCTCCGTGGTATCTCAGGAAGACCCTGGTAGGGGCGACAACCGTCAGTGCAGATGCGCAGCAGGAGACAAGCAGAAGGGCAAGCCGCAAGCTGCTAGCAAAGATGGAGACGGGGACGAAAACCAAGTGTTCCGGTGAGCCTAAGGTGAGGACGGACGGAGCGATACGTACCGGCAAAAGGAACCTCGGCGTTGACGTTCCATGCACCTAGCGGTGGATACCTGACCTCACTGCCGTCCAATACGGGGCACCAGGCTCAAGGTAAGTATCTTTCTCTTGCTGCGTAGTGCGTACTCCGTACTCTCTCCCTTTCCCCATCTTCGATTTCGGCGGTCCTTCTTGTGGGATAGAAGTTACCTTAGTTGCTGGTCAGTGGTCTGGCTGCCCCAAGCGGATGGATGTGATTCACTTCCATTGCGGATGCTCTTGTGGTCAGGATGCCTCATGGACTGATACTTTGCGTACATACGGAGTAGACACGGTATCCGTACCGGCGATGCGGTGCAGGTGCCCTGTTACATGAGGAGCCCTGTAGGAAGTACTCTTTCTCATGCTTGTGGACCAGCCCAATGTACCGGGAAGCAGTCATCGCAGACCCTTTTGCATTGGCGCATTGTCTTTTTTTCTCTCTTTTCTTCTTGTTGTTGTTTTTCTCTTTCTCGGGTTCCTTTTCGTACCATCTCTTTCCTTTCCAAGGCCGCGATTTTGGCCGCTTCGCCATTGAATTTTCTCCCCGGGTCGCGCCAGTTGTGCAGACATGAACCATGTTGGTTGGGCCTCAACAGTAAAGTGCTGGCAGAAAACCAGCTGGCGCAAAGTAGGATCAGCAGCTAATACTAGGTACGGGATAGGTGGACTGGGGACAAGCGGCGAGACGAGTAGGTAGTGGACAGACAGACAGACAGGCACTTGGACCTGAAAATAGGACACGGAAAAGTATGGTGAGGTAAGTAAGGTAAGGTAAGCACCATACAAGTTGCTTCACCTCGCCGCCTCACGTTGGTCGGGCTAGGGCATTTCATCATTTCAGTCACTCTCTCCCTGAAAGGCAAAAGGAGACCAAATGCCCTGAGACGTTGAGACCTGACTCTTTCTCGCTCTCTCTGCTGCCACACCAAAGCTTGCGCAGTCACGCAGTGCGCACCACCGGCGAGAAGCCACGGCACGGCTCTAGTCTCGATTGGTGCAGTTCCAGGAGCTCCCCGATAGCCTAAGGAGGAAGAAGCGGGTGTGAGGTAGCCGCTACCTAACCTAACTCTACTCTGTACTTTGATCTTGTTGCGTTCCTCGCCTTCGCCTCTGGGCAACAACTAAGGTACTACGCACAATCATCGAACCCAGGAACAAGCGGAATTGTTCAGCTGTCTAGGTATCTCGATCTCTTGCTCTCCCTCGTTCTTTGCATGCTATGTACGGATATATCCAGGGGCAGTCAAGATCATCCATACGTACCTGATTATCGGCATGGAGCAAGGATACCCGTTTGGCTTGCCTGAAGTGTGTTCACTTTGCTCATCCTCTGAGAGCAGCAAATAGATACCTTGGCCGGGTACGCAGTAAGGCAAGGTGCCAGGCACAAAACGGGCTACGTACGGGTAGCTAAAGTTGGGTACGCACTATCTACAGGTATGCAGCATTGCAGAGGACCAGCCAAGGTACCTTGCTTCGTACCCAAAACGCCTCTTCACTTTTGGGGCCCGGTACGGAGTACGGGTACCTGGCATAGGCATGGCATGGCATGGCGTGGCGTGGCATGGGACGGGGCATCTTGCAAGGAAGGCCAGGGCCTGGCGTGGCTTTCATGGCTGGCTAATGCCACACTCCCCCCCTAGTCCTCCTTTCTCTCCATCCATGATCCCTCTTTCCCTCCCCCCCCCCTGGACAACATGAAGGGGAGGGCCTGGGGCCTGGGGTCTACCGTCTGGGTACCACGGTACCTTGCTTAGGACCTAGCCGTCTCGCCCAGGGGGGGGGAGGGTGCGGTTTCCAGCTTGCAGGATGAGCAGCGGCAGCAACCAAAGATGCTGGTCCCCATCCATCCCTTCCCTTGGTTCCCTTTTTTTTGCCCTTTAATTTTTGGGTGGAAACTGGAAAGAGAAGGAAAAAAAGGAACCACCAAACCTGAGGAACATTACCTACCAGAACCAGACCAGACCTGTCCTGGACCTGACCAGACAGCCCCGAAGGGAAAAAAAAGGTACCTACCTCTTCCTGGCCCTACCTCACCTTGCAAGTTGCCTTACATGGTTCCAGTCCAGCGCCAGTAGCCCATGAACCCTCCCCCTCCCCCTTCCCTGCGCTCCCGCCCTGACATTACATTACCTACTTTACATTGCGAACGAGAAAAAATTTCCCATTCTCGCTCGGGGCGTCTGGAATAAGATAGAGAGAGAGTGTGTGTGTGAGAGAGAGACCTTCTTAATCACCTCCCTCCCATCCGTCATCTCCTGTTTCCATTCTTCTGAGTTCCTATCCTCACTTACCATCCTTCTTCTTATTCCCATCCTCTCCCCCCTCTCCTCAACGGCGCATCGCTCTGGTCTCTCTACATCTCTCTCACATTCGACATCCAGTCTTCTACATCTTTCTGCGCTACTTGCCAGCATCCACTAGCTTTACCACCACGCACAAGCATCAAACCAGCAGCAGCACCAGCTCTCAGCGCGCGCTCCATCACACACAATAGACGCGCCCCCCTTTTCTCCTGCACGCTCACCGCAGTCCCTGGGACCACCAACGTTGCCAACACTCCAAACAAAAGAGCAGTTCGCGCGACCCACCAGCAAAGCAGTTGTTGCCCGTTTCTCAGCTCAGTAGACTAGCGAGAGAACCTGCAGCAAGCCATCCTCGTCTCGTCTCGTCTCGTCTCGTTCCGCACCGTACAGCACCTCACCTCACCTTACACGCCTACCATACCTGGCAATACTCTCCGCGACCTGCGCTTCACAGAGAGGATCGTAAGAAGGGAACCCGTTTATTCCAAGACCCCGATCCCGAACCGAATCAAATAATATCACCAAAACACAAAAGGGAATTCCCCATTGAGAAGCGACTTTCCGAAACCTGCGCAACCAACCGTCTCGATATCCAACCAACCCCCGACGGCACACCCACAACACGACAGAAAAGACTTGATCGTCTGCAACTGCGCAAAGCCCATCCTGCTCGAGCCATCCACATGCAACGGTGCCGATAATACACTCCCTCGCTTCCTCCGGACCGCCTGTTTTGCCTCAGCTCCTCCTATTTTCTGCGAAACAACCGAGCAGCATTGGTGACGCCCAATTTGGCAACATACCCAGGCCTCCTTGCATCATCACCGCCTCTTTATCCCCGTCAACTCTCACCAATCCCATCTCCTGAAGACACTCGCACCCAAGTCTTCAAGGCCGCTTTCCAACACGTCGCACTACGACGTTCTAAATTGTGAGTCAGAGTTGCAGCAACGGCATCCACTAGCCAATTTTTTTACACCTTGTGCGGCATACTCCCATGTCCTACACCGGACTGCCCTGTAACCATCTTCACCGTCATGTCGCGTCTGGCTTGTATAAAGTTGACGCTCTGTCCTCGCTACCCTCGAGAGATATTTGATCGAATCATGGCTAACAAGCGATTTCAAAGAAACTCAATTCCAACCAGTTCTCGCTTTCGAAAGCACCTACAATATTCAAAATGGGTGTCAGAGAGATCACTCCCGCCTCCAACATGGGCCGTGGTGCCTACGACACGACTGGAGTGCCCAAGCCTCCTCCTCGCCCCAAGCCTCGATAAATCAGCCTCGTGCTGATTATCATGATGAGCGACACGCAATTGACGTGCCATGAGCACGATCCGACGAACGAATTCCACATCTCCACTGGTCCGCGGGCTCAGGCCAACGCGATGATTTTTCCCACGCGAGACATCTCGAGAGGATCCAACCGCCCCCCTACTCTCTACGCTACCGCGTGTCTTATTCGATCATGCACACCCAACCCATACTTATCCTCTACAACTCTACTAATACTGGCGGTCCATTTCCACCTGTACTACCTCATCTGTACAACCAAAACGTCCTGGCCGATTTTTCGCAACATTTCATCATACACCATTTAATACGCATATCTGTCCAAGACTAGAACATACCGGCTCGCAGCCACAACTTGCTTCCCAGCAGCAAGGCGAATGGGAACGCCTTACACGGTTTTCATGATGTGGCATCGATTTTATTTTGTGTGCTTGTGGGATCATTTCATCCCACCTGCACCAGGGAGAAGAAAAAAGGGCATGGCGTTACAACATAGACGGATCTGGGTTTCTTGAACTTTGGCTCCTTTTCGACGGGAATTTTTTTTTTTCAAAAACGTTTTGTTTCCTGTCAGCTCTCACATACCTCATCTGGGCCCTCGACGTCCTACGACACGACACTCGGCGACGGCACAATATCCCCGGCGGATCCATTCCAAACTGTCGGTGAGTGCTTCGCAGGCACTTTGGTCGGGCAGCAACGCATGACAACGCAACCACCATCCTCGACGCACATGGCTCGCAGCCGCCTCAACCGTCAAATTCGAGGGTGTGAGACGACAATCTTCCTTTTACATGGGGTTTCTCGGACAAGGGCACAAAAGAAACATGCAGCTTCAAGCGCCTGTTTTCCTTTTTTTCCATCTCTATTTTCCTTTTTCATTTCTGTTTGCTTTCACCTTTCGGGCAATGCGATTCTGGGACGGGCTACAAAAAATCTGGGAACTGGACTGGGAAAAGAACTGATTCGCATATAGACTTTTCATTTTCTTTCATTTTGTTTGTACCAACTACCCCCTGTATTCTCTAGGTTTGGTCGACTTTTACGCACAACCAGCTACCTCGCGGTCCTGGTTTGAGCGAGAGCACCAAGGATATGTCAGCAACGCTTTCCTACTTTTTTCATTTTCCCTTGTCAGAACAACAAGGCGATGGCGATGACGGATTTACTACCACTACATCTTTATTATTCCCCCATTTTCTTTTTTTTTTTTCTGCTTTCTCATGGTGTGCTCGAGACCGGAGGCTCCACGGCTAGCTGATCGTCCATATGTGGGCGATGCGGGCTTGGATGGACTCTGGGATTGACAAAAGAAGATACCCCGCGGGTTTAGCCCTCTTTAGACTGCATATGTATAGTACTCTGCCATCTATAAGAGCCAAGATAGCTACACAGCGCCAGCGCATAGGAAAAGGAGACATCCAAATTCGAAACAATGAAACATTTAAAAATCATATTACATCACCTCTCTCTTTTGTTTTGCATTGCACACCGATATTTGAGTTGAAGCCCTATCTGATCCTGCCTACCTAGGCGAGTGCCCAATCTGACGTGGAGACATTCCAGATCTAGCAGATGTGTGTGAGTGTGTGCAGGATGCATCTGAGACGGACAGGGGTGTTTGTTGGACGAGAGCATTCCTTAACCCCCCGTATGAGGGCGGCGGCGGTTGCTCTCGAAGCTCATGCTATGCTATGCCATGCCATGCGGCTCGACACATTCGACTCGACTCGAGAACTTCTGTGAGATGCTCGAGTAATTCAGTTCAGTTCAGGAAGAAGAGGAGAATTCGGGATAGGCGATGGACGGCGAGACATGGCAAAAAGAAAGCTAAAGGATAGGTAGCTGAGGGTTTTCCCCCATCGCAGGGGGGCTGCTCCCCCCAACTTGGTGTGCCGTAAGGGGGCAAAGGGAGAGAGCTAGTCACCCACACAACGGGACGTCTATCCGGGAGGGAAGGGAGAGAGCGGTTCGGTTTTAGTCTGGTGTAGGTAGTCACGGTAGAGTATCTAGAATACCCAAAGTAGAGGATCGGATAGTGTTATAGGGGAGGGGAACGGAGAGGGGGGAGAGCCACACAAGATCGGGGGGCCGGGGGGTTCGGATGCGGGATGCGGATGCGGGATGCGGGAGAGGGGTTCTAGGCCAAGGGGGGAATGCGACGACTCTCGCCCATCCGCCCATCGTCATGCTTGAGGAAAGAATTCTCACTTTAGACCTAGACACCTCCCCCTCGGGTGCTCGGCCAAGACGAAGGAAGGGTCTCAGTCAAAAGTTGGTGATTCGGTCACCACCGACTGGTATCATATGCCTATATGGGCGTGACAACGAATTGGGCAAAGACGCATGAGGTAGCAGCAGCGGCACGACACATCACGGGGGCATGCGAACTACGACGACTTACATGATCGACGGGGGACGCGGACGCGTGCCGACGACACGTTGTGTGTATGTATGGTAGGTATATATGTATGTATGTATGCGCGTGCGTTGTGTTGTGCCTGCCGGCGACTCGAACAGGACGAGTCGAATGAGACTTTTTGAAAGCAAAGGAGCCTGCTCCGTGACGGCTACCTCTGCCATTTTCTGCCGCCACACACCTACGACAGACTGGTCTTCCTCTGGCGTGTCTGGGTACGGATACCTTGGGTACTAGTGTTCCCCCCCCCCTTTTCGTCTGATCAGAGACCTTTGAGGAACGCGGAACTAGTCGAGGGAGAGAGGGGAACCGGCCGGGCGCTTATGCGCTGCAGCGTCAATCGATTTAGCGGGGGACAAACCATGGCGGGAGACAAGACGAGGATGACTTTTGATTTTTTTTAAGAGGAGGAGCGAGGGGAGGCAAGGGGTCGTGGTAGTGGTGGTGGTGTGTGATTTGTTTTTGAGCAGTCGTCTTTTCGGACTATGGCAAGCTAGGCAAAGCAAAAAAAGAAAAAGAAAGAAGAAAGAAGAAGAAAAAACGGGCGATGGTGGTGATGCAGTCCACATTGCTTTTCTTTTCTTGAGCTGTGTCGTAGATCGTGGTTTGCATGGCGGTGCGTTGCGGGCGTGTGCGCGTGCAGCCGGGGAAGACGGATCGAACATGGGTGTAATATGAACAAGGTGATGATCAATCAGATAAGTAGAAAAAAAAAATCTGAGAAAAAAAAAATCCAGGTGAAGGATTCATTCAGTATTCAAGGAAGCGACGAAAAGCAAGTTGGTTACTCGTACTGGGATGCGTAGTCTGGCGCGAAAGAGTTTGGATAAAGGGTTCGTTCGGATGGCATGGATGGTGCCGTGTAAGTTTTCTGTATGGTCTGTATGGGATGTTGGCCATGTGGAAATAGTGCTGCCACTTTCTTTGCCAAGACCTTTTGCATGTTCGGATGTGACGTTGGAGTTTTTTTGATTTTCTGCTAAAAAAAACCTATCTTGGGGGCGGGCTTTGTACTGTGTAGCCTAGGAGGCTACGACTCTCGAGTGATGCCCTGTCTTTTCTACGGAGTAGACTTTCTAGACTTTCCTCCGGTCTCACGCGGAAGATGGGTTTTACGAGCCGGGCTGCGTACGGGCCGGGGCGCGGGAGAGAGAGAGAACTGGGAATAGGAGCCTGAAGAGATTCGAGAAGAAGGGGGGGGGGGTGTAGTGTATGGGCAAATCAACAATGACGCTATCGTGACACTACCGTCCTCTGCGGGCATCGCTAGTTCGACATACGGATGCGACGTTGTGGAAGCACTGCCGTAGGGTTCCCCGAGATTTCGATGTGCCGAGACTGGAAGAGAGCCGCGAGAGCTGAAAAGGGTTGGGTGAGTGAATGAATGAATGAATGGAATGGGAATTTGTTTATTGGGTACGATGCGAAAGTGCGTGCAGTAGTAGATTGGCACTTGGGACATCCGAAAAGGAGCCCCGGTGCCCAGGTGTGTGACGGCTGATAGAGGTTGCCTGGTAGCTTGGCTGTCATCATTGTCGCATCGCGTACGTCGTCCAACCAATATACTGGGAGTGTATTCGTAGGGAAGATACCGTATACGAGAGCATACACAACGACCCCGAGACGATGGTTCCCGGATGCGCTCAGTTCTGTAACGTTGAACTGGTCCGACGCTGTGTGATGTACGTAGTATTTACGGATACGTCTGTATTATTGGAAACACCATACATTATTACATTATCCTGTAGTCACGCGTGGCACGGGGAGGCGACACGTTGGGACGGGTTTACTTCAGGAACAATCGCGTTTGGAGGAGGACGAACACGCGCCTTGGCCGAAGCGCTGCGCGACGACGCGCAAGTGCCAAAAGTGATAGGAAGTTCCGAAATACAGCAGCTCCGTATGATGTGGTCAACCCGTTGCGCAATCAGGCAAGGTGCTAAAATTTTGGGTTTGATGAACTAAAATTACAACAAATTGTTGGAAGATGAAATAGGGGAAATTTCAGGAACAGACACACACACACTTACACCACCCTGCCGTGCCGTGCCTGCCCCGGGGAACGTCAAGACCAAAGAAATGTGGAAACCCTAGAGCGAAAAGAAGAAAAAGGGGGTGGTGTGAGTTCAGGCTGTTTGGGAGCGTGTGAGAGCTGACTGCGTTTCCGTTTGTAGCTCTCTGTAAGGTATCGGCCGGGGGGTGTGTGTTCGCACGGCGCTAATGCAGCGGCGGCGTCCCGGGAACCAAAGCGCTGGGACCTTCTTTTTTTTTTCCCTCTCTTTCCCTTTTTGCTGCTGTTCGGGAGTGGCCCGCGGTGGGCCGGAGGGAGGATGAAACGGGCCTATCATTGACCGAACTCCGCGCTATGTCCCTTTTGGGCTCCTCGGTGGGGTATCCACTTTCTTTTCGGACGAAAGAAAGCTGAGCGGTCGGTGAAGTCCAGGTGAGAGGAAAGGGACGAACGGGCCCCACACACTCACACCTTGACTCGCAAGGTGAAGGAGCAGGAGGAGCCTACCTACCTGGGGAAGTACCTCAGCTCCGACCCGACGCGGAAAGAGAGGGTTGCAGAGAACATGCGGCTAAACTGCGCGACCTGCAGAAGGTGCCGACCTTTCCCGGTAGTTGCAATGCAGGGAAGGAAGGGGGAACGTTTTGTTTCTTCTTTCTTGTGAGACACTCAAAAGGGGGGCTAACTGTCGATCTCCTTTTTTGGCTTTCACATCGAACAAAATTTTCAAAATTGATCTTGTTTTGACTCGAGAATTGTCCATCTGCTGGCTTCCCCTGCATCATTAATCACCAACGAGTCAACAACACACGTCTTGCATACAAACGCAAGATTGACAACCCGCGTTGTTTGCGCCCCTCGAGCTACTCGAAAAGGGGTATGGCATCACACCAGATGTCTCCATCGCGCTGGTTGGACGTTGGCTTTGCCGTCATTGTGACAACTGACGGGTCGGCGCAAACCAACAATCCTGTCATTCAAGTACCAACTCTATGTGTCAGTAACTAGCCATCAAATAGCGTCCAACGGCCCAATGTCAACAACCACCAAAAGACATACACCCGCATATGCAGCAAACACGCCCATGCTGCGTCTGGTTTTCCACCAACGAGATAGTTCATCCCATTCCCCCAGTCTCTCATTGGCCATCTGCAAGGCGCGAGATTGAACCACTCACACACACACACACACACACACACACCAATGACATTCGGAAGGCAAACCTCCTCTACGGATACAAAGTACACACCACCTTATCCGTACCGGCACTTTGGGACACGAACTCGGGTTTGGCGGGCTACATTGTCATTGCTGCAGCTTTCCCCCTTCCCCGGGTTATCAAATATGGGTATCTCTACGACGTACCGGATATGCCTCCCGGGCCAAACGGATCACTACGGTGCTACCCGTACGGCGCGCACAAAATAGCCGTTTACCAGCTGCCGAGTCATCAACAAATTCTCGTCCACTTGCTTGTCTCCTCGACGCTTCTCGGCCGTAGCCGAAGAATGGCTGTGTTTGCGCTGTGCTGCGTTGCCGCGCATCCAGATCCGCCGTGGGTACTCCGTACGGAGTATGCGCAACTGATTTCCAATTTGAAGTGCATGGCAATTGCATAGGAAACAAGACGAGATAGCGACGACGGCGGCCCCTCATACCCAATTCCGGACATCATGGGCCACGCCTCAGCTCACCGAGCCCTCATCATCACGCGGCAGACACACCACCACCCGACTGAGTACACGCCACATCGTGAACGAAACGGCCCAGCAAGATGAGACAGCGTGAACCACCCTTCTTTGCACCCCCTCTAACCCAGGAAGGAGAAAAGAGCCTCATCCAGTGTGCCAGTTTCCCGGCTCGGTTCGGTTTGGACATCCCACGCGTGCAACATCCCACGTCTGGCTTTGGTCTACGCCTCGCGAAACGGGGGGAAAGGGGGAGGGGGCCGAGGAGGCGCAGATGGGCGGGGGGCGCATATCGATGCATGCCCTTCGGGAAATGCGACGTCTCGACCGAGTAGTCGGGTCCCCTTACGTCTCTTTCTTCTGTCTCGCCGATACTTGACTCCGCGATGTCTTTGGAGACGACTGGTTAGCGAAACCCCCACCCCGCCGCCCCCTTTGCCTTCGTCACCGAGAGGTAGGTGAGTGAGATAGGGCAGAGGTAGGTACCGTCTTGTGAAGAGGGTCAGGATATTTCGACAAGCAGAGATCATCCTTCCAACGTTTCATCCCGACTTTCTCTCCAGCAACCGTTTCTGCACCGCCCAGGCCTCAAGGCTGTCCGGGACATCAACTCCCTCACCGGTGCGATATACTCCCTTCCCTGCGCGTCGTCCCCAACCTCTGGAAAAATTTCTTCCCCATGCCTTCTATCCTTACAAGGGCTTGTCCTTCGAGAAGTTCCTTTTGATGGGGACGCAAGGCGTGATGATGAGGGTCCAATTCGGTGAGTGAAAGCCTTGGCCCTGTTTGATAGACCGCCTGACCACAAAGCCTGGGACTCCTTGGGGGGGACGGGGCTCCGGGAGAAGCAGAAAATCTCACGGGGAGCCAAGACGAGTGGCAAGGTTCTGCATATCTCAAACTGCCAAATTTCCCGGGGCCGCGGTTTGGGATCTTTTTTCTGGTTTGCTCACTTCTTCCCAGGTTCAAGGAAGCCGATCAGAGAGCTCCGCCGACAAAAGGTCCCCGCAACAAACGGATAGCCGTTGCCAAAAATCGCCATTTCTCTCGCCTCTCTTCTCTCTCCCCACCAAGCCATGCGGACACTGTAGCCGGGGCATGGCCCCCGGATCCCCGGAGGCATTATTTGAAAGGCCCCAAGGGCTGCCGACAGGGGAGGAAAATGGAAGAAGCAAAGAAGGAGGAAGAAGGTCCCTCTTTTTCCTTCTTCACTCAACACACACCCTCAAACCGTCATCGGATCCCTGACCAAGTCTTCATCCAGTGGGAAACATTGCCGTCAGTGTGCTCCGTCTCCACCGGTATCCATCTTGCATGGATCACGCATGGATACCCATGGAGGGAATGGCACGGTGACTTGGACGAACCCAACGGAGCCACGTACTGAGGTACCTACGCCGTCCGGATACGCCCTGACGCCCTCCCAAGTTCCCCCCCCCCCCCCCCCCGGGCAGCTGAGGATAACTGAAGCAGGCGGATCTCGTTTCCTGCCTTTCTTAATTTTACCACGTTATTTCGAATTTCAGATTTTCCTTCTAGCGCGTCCCTCTTTTTCCTTCTTCACCTTCTCTCTCTCGCTCTCGTGGGGCCGACACAGTAACCCTTGCTAACGTCCAATGGGCCCAAATCGCGTGCCCGGGCAAAATTAACCCAAACCACGGGTCCAGCTCCGGCGCGAGGAGAATGCTCATTGCTCACTTTCGCAGTCTACCCATCACCCCTGAGTTTCTTGACCGAAACTACCCATGCGCAGCAGTTACGACACGAACAAAGCCAGGCCTGGATCACCAGTGCAGCACCAGGAAATGGGGAGCGGGCAGGCACACCGACAGACACACCAACCCCCAGTCCCAAAACCGTTGGGTCTTCTCTTGTTCCTTGGCTCTAGTGTGTATCCGTACGCTACTCATAGGCAATCCGGAGTACGCTACCCGGACGGGGTTCTCGCCCCCATCGCCGAGGAGTTAAATGCTACAAAAATGCAAAGGGCTGGGACGGATCCAACTCAAGCCGCCGACGGCTCGTCCTTCCCCTTCTTCCCCCGGTGAGCTAAGGGTATTGGCAATGTGGGCAAACCCCGCTGGAAAGGCCGAGAGTCCAGAATAACACAGTACCGACCGTAGTGTACGGATACTCTGTACTCTCCGTACAGATACAGGGAAACACAATTCATCCTGGGATGTTGACTCATCGGGTCACCGGGGAACATGGGCGTTTGGATTCTTGGGAAATTGGGCCTTTCGGTCTGCCAACTGCCGGTGGCATGCAACCGATCCTCCCAGCCCGTCAAGGGACCCGGTCTAGCCTCTGCCGTAGGTTGACTGTTTCGCTGGAACCGGGGCCCATATCGATTCAGAACATCATATCTCCCAAGGGAGATTGTTGTCTCGGTGAGGGTCTCACCGGGGTGGGTTTGTCATTCTCTCTCTTTCTTCTCATCTTTCTACCCTGCGAAACACGGGCCCTGTCTTGCTTGTGGAGGTCAAGGTAACCTTTGCGGTCTCTCGTGCCAAAGTGCGTACGGATACTCCCATACAGCCCAGGACCTCTTTTTTGAATTTTTCTACACACTAATCTCTATTGATCATTTCGACCGGCGGCGCCCCCAATCTATGGAACATTGCGGCTACCCTTCTAGAATATCCACAGACGCGCCGAGTGGTTGGGACGCTCATCCCTGCAGCATTCCTTTCCCACAAAGAGCCTCAAGCCCTCAAGGACCTGCACTGCGGTGTTACCGACAGTCAGGGACTCAGGGCTCGTCTCGACTCGCCCGTACCGGTCACCCGTGCTTCTTCTTCTCTCCCTCCCGCCTCTCCCCGGCGGCGAGGCTTGCTAGACTCCCCCTCCCTTCTCCCGAGACCCGCGGCCCTCTCCATACCGGTCTGTACTGTAATACCTTTATCTGTACTGCGTACTCCGTATGTACGGAGTACGAGTAACTCTACGGATACACCTGCGATCCCAGCTTTGACCCTGCTTTCCGGGAATGTGACAGCTCACACGCCCACCCTCAAGGAGGACCTTCAGAATTCAGGGTACACATCGCTGCTCTCAGGTCATCAGCTAAACCATCCCGCTGGTACACGATGGGAGAGGGGCCCGGCATCCTAGGTGACGGGGGGGGACGGGAATGCTCATTGCCCAGAGAGAAAAAATGACAGCACCTCCAGGGGAGGGGTTAGGGGGAAGGGGCGTGTCATTCACATGGAGAAAACTTTGAGCCTCAAGTGGGCGTGTAAGAGATGGAGGTCGGTGTGAGTAAGAAGGAGGCGAGGGGGGGGGGGGGGGGGGGAGGGGGGGGGGGGGTACAGTGTACGGGGGTAGACAGTGAAGGGGGGGGGGAGGGGGGGGGGGGGGGGGGGGGGGGGGAGGGGGGGGGGGGGGGGGGGGGGGGGGGGGGAGATGACGAGAAAGAGATAGAAAGGAAAGGATAGGGAAGAAACACAACTCACGTCCGTCTAGCCAACGGCATACCCTCCCTGACTTTAGCCCACTCGTCCAAATCCACATCGACAAAGCCAATGGCCCCCTCGGCGCCCTCCTCGGCCCTGCCATCGGCGTCCACGCCGCCCAGCTCCAGCTTGACCCGGCCCCAGGGATCAACGACCATGCTGTGGCCGTAGCTGCTCCGCTTCGGATTGTGCGCGCCCACCTGCGCCGCGGCGACGACCCAGCTCTGCGTCTCGATGGCGCGGGCCCGGAGAAGGGTCTCCCAGTGCGCCTGGCCCGTCCGGATGGTGAAGGCGGAAGGGTAGAGGAGGATCTGGGCGGGGCCGTGGCCGCCTTTGTTGTCAGGGAGGAAGGGGCTCTTGGGTCCCGGGTGCGTCAGGGCGAGGGCCGGTTCGGGGAAGCGGAGGTCGAAACAGATGAGGCTGCCGGCGCGGCCGACCGGGGTGGGGAATGGGGCCGTGAGGGAGGGGCCGGCTTGGACTGTTGCGCTTTCTCGGAGGGCGCCGTAGTCGAAGAGGTGGAGCTTGTCGTAGGTTGCGGCTTGGAATATGGTGCCGTCTGCGTTGATCCAGAGGCTACGGTTGAGGAGCTTTGGAGTGGTAGTGGTGGCGTCTACGGCTACGGCCGGCTTCTGGGCGTCTGTTGTGGGGACGTGGATGCCGACGTTCACGGCGACGGAGTGGGTCTTTGCTGCTTCCTGGAGGCCGAGGACGAAGGGGGACTGGGACTGCGGTTGAGCTAGGGAGAGGGATTCTTGCGGGCTTGAGGCGATGTAATCTGCGGCTTCGGGGAGGAAGAGGACCTAGGAAGAATACAGTGAGCGGCGCCTGTTGGTGTTGGTGGTGTTGCTGTGGGGGTGGGCAGGAGGCAGACATGAAGCCATTTTTGTGCTTCAGGCTGCATTTGCATTGCAGGTCTCATGTGCAGCAGGATGGGATTGCGGTGAGAGAGAGGAAAGGAACAAGACGAGTGTTTTGATATCGACGCCCCCTTTGTTACGGACAGATGGGACGTACTTTGGCACCACCGACAGCGGCCTTGGCGACGAGCCTCACGCACTGCTCTAGGTTGTGGGACAGAGAGGCCGTGGAACAGATTTGACCGACAGCCTGTTCACGCCGAAAGGAAGAGGGGACCGCATCAGTAAGTCATCTGCAGAGACACGTGGTCTTTGTTTGGGGGTGTGTTAGGCAGCCATACCGCGATCGCCATATTGTTGAAGATACGGTGAGATGGAACCTTTTGGGGGAGGGATATGTTTGGATTTGGATGAGAAACTTATGCAATGTAGGCGCGGCAACCCTGGGTAGGGGTTGGTCGTGTGGACTGATCTTGGAGAGAGGGAGGGAGAAAGTATGCTGGCCACGTGGCAGAGCAGATGAAGCCGTTCGGATGATTTTCGTGAGGACTGTAGGGTGTGAAAGGTTGGCGATCTTTCATGCAAGCTATAATGGTTTCTTGGATGGGTTGGACGTCGG